TATATATATATATATTCGTTTCGTACTTGTAAAACTGGAGGAAATCGGGATGTTTTATGCGCAATACGAATATTCCTGTGCTGTGCCCCCACAATGGTTTAACTTAAGTTTACGTAAAAGATGTACAAAAGAACATAATTTCAAAGATGCGATAGACTGAATTAACAACCATAAAAACCAAAACAGTATTGTTTGGCCTCACATTTTTAATCACATCCAGTTCCTCTTTTTGACGAGTGAATTCAACTTCTCTTTGTTTTAATAACCGTAAATTATTCATGAACGCTTCTTTCAACTGATTCAACTGCACAGTAGTTTCTTCTAGTTTTCTTCGTGTGCTGTCAAAATTTGAATGCATCTCTTGAATCTCTTTCATCAACAACTCCTTCCATTCTGCTTCTTTCTTGAACACTACAAAAGTTTCAGTGTTTATGAATGTGCTGACCTTCAGTCAGAGCTTCCGTGCTGGGAATGCCTACTATTTCTGACATTTCAGTGCTGGTTTCAAATTTTACCTCCCTTTTTCGGGTGTCGTACAGCTGAAATGAAATAAAAAGTAATCATCTTTAGGATTAGACTCTTTAAAGTACTGACCAAATGTACTCGGTTTTCACTATGATACATCAATCTGATGTAGAAAACATCTATTAGGAAAAACAAGTGGTTCGGCGAAAACGTTTAACAATAAGTTATTACCGTGTATTTCTTCAACGGAATTTTCTTCGTACAATGCTATTACACATCATTAGCGCAAAACATTAAGCACCTCAATCGCATAAGCGCACACTGATTACCCAATTTGACCTGTAGATGTGGGATTAGTCCAAAGAATGAAGGTATTCGGAAACAGTTGCTCCTGGTGGATAATTTGAAATGTGTGAAAACCAAAACTGGCAACTAATATTACAAGTAAATGCTACTTCACAATAAAGCGGCTCTGATATATGACGAAATTATTGACTACGATAGCTTAAGCACGTCCCCAAGCTACCGCCACACTGCACTCTTTCACAGCCACACTCCACATTGTGCGGGAGAAGTCCAATTAGAGGCAAATGTAATTGATAAAAGTTGACTTTAAACTTCCGCCACCCTAGTTTTTGGATACTAGATCTTGGCAGATCTGAATCATAACAGGACACTCTTCAATCTCATCTTGCACTGGATTGAACAACATTAAATGCTTTATTGGATAAATATGAATAGCCAGCTGACGAATTTATCGAAAAACAGATTGTTTCACCAATCGGATTTTAATTTCAGTGTCACAATGAAAGTTTCACATTTACTTGCTGTTCACAACTAGTAGTGGTAGACAGTTTCACCGCTATTTGGTTCTACAATACTGGATGCCTTATACAGTTTACACCCCACGCTTAGGAATTTTCCATCTACGAAATTCAGAAACTGATTCATCCTACCAATAAAACCTGTTTGGCAAAGGTGAAAGCCGTTCACAGGTCAAGAAAATGTAATTTAGGTGCTTCGATTTCCCGCCGCAATAATATTGACTCTAGAACTGTTTTCTTATCCCTATAATTGTCAAGTGAACAGAATTAATGGAAAACTATATCATCCAATTTAATATGTGCTTTTGCCACATTCGTATGACGTGTAAGCAAACTGATTTAAATTGATGCCAATAAGTTTCGCTTAAACATTTTGTATAGAGAGAAATATATGGAAGTTGGAAAAGTACTGCCAACTCTCTGGCGCATCTTATGTTGGTCGAGTGACACAATAACTATCTGCCCATCACGCATGTTGGTTAAGACTAAGAAAAACCAAATCAATAAACGGCTTCATCCTAAGTCACTTAATCGGACGTCGCTTTCAAAGTTGTTCTTCGTCCCCCCCCCCCA